TGGTTGGGAGTGCAGGGGTTTGTCCAGAGGGATTTTGGCAGTGGTTGGGAGTGCAGGGGTTTGTCCAGAGGGATTTTGGCAGCAGCTGGGAGCACAGGGGTTTGTCCAGAGGGTTTGGGGCAGGGGTTTATCTGGCTGTGTTAGCCCACGTCCTGCTGCTTCCTCAGCCCGTACCCGTCTCCACAGCATCCTCTGTCTGCAGCATCCTCATTCCCCCTTCATCTGGCTTCACTTTTGCCTTCACCCTCCCCTCCCCGGGAGCCCGCTGGGCTCTGGCCTCACCAGGGTTTGGTCTCCCCCAGAACCAGGTGATAGCGTTCGAGTGGGAGGAGATGCAGCGGTGGGACACGGACGAGGAGGGGATGGCCTTCTGCTTCGAGTATGCCCGAGGGGAGAAGAAACCCCGATGGGTTAAAATTTTCACCCCCTATGTAAGTAGTCCCATTCTGTGCCGATTTTGCTCAGGGAAAGCCCAGACCCGGGGCGTTTTCCCTCTGGGAGCTGGAGGAGCTCCTCTGCTCCAGCCTTTGGGGCCGCTGGCCACCAGGAGGAGCCTGCAGCAGAGGGAGCCCTGGGCTGGCAGCAGTGCCAGCGTCCCTCCCCCGGGAGCCAGAGCTGCTCCCAGCCCTGCCGCTTTCTCTTTGCAGTTCAACTACATGCACGAGTGTTTCGAGCGGGTTTTCTGCGAGCTCAAGTGGAGGAAGGAGGTAAGAACCCTGAGGCTGCAGGGAGGTGGCTTTGTGGGCTTTCTACAGCAGGATTTTGGTGACAAGTATTTCTGCCTGGTCCTCAACGGCGGCTTGTCCAGGGAGTATCGGATGATTAGAGCAGCAATCCTGGGTCTCTGGGGGTAGACGGGGTCTCTGGGGAGCACAGGATGGTTTCCAGAGGCCTGGGCTCTGCAGGTGGAGGGTGCTGGAGCTCCTGCTGTGGGGAGAGGGGGCTGGAGGCCGCGGGGCTGCAGCTGGTTGCTCGCTGCCCGGGCTGTCGGTGATGGCAGAATGACTGTGCTCCTCCAGGAGCTCGCCCGGGGCTGAGCTGTGAGAGCCTCTGGCCAAGAGCTGCTGAGAAACACAGGGAGGTTTGAGGGGGTGTGTGGGTTTTGTCTTTTCTGAATGCCAGCCTGAGGTGCCAAAGCTGTGCTGGGAGCCCCGGGTGGGAGGTGCACGCGAGCCAGCCCTGCTGCCTCCAGTCCTGCTGCTCTGCTTCCCTGGCCTCTCCTCCTGCCTGGCTGAGCTGGGCTTGTTCAGCCTGAGAGGAGGGGGCTCCAGGGAGACCTTCTTGAAGCCTTTTTTGGTACTTAAAGGGGCCTGTCAGAAAGCTGGGGGCAGACTTTTGAGCAGGGTCTGTTGCACCAGGACAAGGGGGGATGGGTTTGGACTAAAAGAGGGAGATTTAGACTACAGAGAAGGCAGAAAGTTTTGAGGCTGAAGGTGTTGAGACCGTGGCCCAGGTTACCCAGAGAGGTGGTCGCTGCCCCATCCCTGGAACCATTCCAGGGGAGGTTGAGGGCTCTGAGCACCCTGCTCTAGTTGGGGCTGTCCCTGCTCCCTGCAGGGGGGTTGGAGGAGAGGAGCTTGGAAGGTCCCTTCCCCCCAGTGAGTCCGTGTTCCTATTCTTTGATTCACATCTGATCACCTTGCGCCCATCCGCTGCTTCTCCTTGGGCTGCTCCACATCTGTCACCCACAGGGGCTGCTCCCAGGGGCTTCTCTTGTGGGGAGGAGGCAGAGTGCAGCTTGAAAAGCCACATGCCCTCAGCTTGCTCGGCTGCCCCCCGGGGGCTGGGTCTGATTCACCCCGAATGAATTCACCCCGTGGCTGCCGAATCCTCGCCGTGTATCTGCTGTCCCGGGGCCGTCGCTCTCGCTCGTGGGCTCGGAGGGAAGCAGCTGCTGGAGGCTGGATCCCCTTGTGTTGCTCTTGATCTGACCGAAACTCTTGGCACCAACCCTTCTCTTTCTGCTGCTGTCTTGTCTCTGCCAGCTGATGGATTTGGGTACCTAGAGCAGGGCTTAAGCGTGGCACCTCTGAGGTGACCCCGGAGGGTCTCCCTGCGGCCAGGCGTTGGGGTGCTGGGGCTGGCTCAGTGCTGGGGTGGAGCTGTGCAGAGAGAGTAGGGCCAACACCACAGGGGATGGAGCCGTGCAAACCTGGAAGAGTTTTCCAGAAATAAGAGATTCCTGATTCTTGACTCGAGGGGTGGGAGCTGAACCTCCCACAAGTGGCTGGAGAGCTGCAGTCGGGGCCAAGGAGACCTTCGGGTGCCAGGCTGG